AGATGAAGGCGTTTTTCTACTCCACTGGTCAACTCTGGAAGGAGCAGGCGCTGGCTGGGAAGCCGGCTGGGTTCTTTGTTAGTACTGGAACTCAAGGAGGAGGCCAATAAACCACGGCGTAAGTTAGAAAATTTTCATTTCTCTACTGCTTCTGGAATGATGTTTTTCGATTGAAATGGGAACTCAATTTTGCAGAGAAACTTTGAGTAACAGTTTTGATTCTTTCTTGTTTCCTGAATTTGTTATCCAAAACAAGAGAAATTTAGTAAATTGATTATGTTGGCCTTGGGTTTATACGACTTACGAGTATTGTCATGTTGATTTATGTTGTTTAGTTTATCATCTATGTTTGAACAAAGTGCTAATGGATTAACTTAATGGATAGAAATCATGGAAGATAGTTTCTTTGAAATCAAATAGGTAGGAATTGGAGCTATTGTAGTGAGGCCTTTGTAACTTAAATTTTTCTTGGGAGAATAAAGCATTTTATCGTAATCGCATTATCTAATTGAATTTTGGTAACTACGATCCGTGACTTTTATGAGGAATTTTATTGTTTGATTACAATTCTGGTAGGCATTCTACATTCTTAAATTCATTGATATTATTTTAACAAATATGAGTGCTTATTTAAGACTTAACTACCCTAGAAAATTAAGCCAATGGACACTTGCTTCCTAGTTTCTCCTTACTTGTATTTTCCTTTGGAAGTTATGATTTTCACATCCTGTTCATGCTCAATGAAAGACGAATTTTGCCCAACATGAACTCTGAATATTGGATCGCAATCGGTGGTCAATTTCCATGTGATTATACCTTTTGATCTTTCCAAATTCCTTTGGACATACCATATCTACACTAAAACAGAAGCTAAATGCTTGAGGATCTAAAGTGACATGATTTTCAATAGTATGGACTACCAAGTTCCTTTGTAACCTATTCGTACATTTGGATTGTTGGTCAAATGATTGCTGTCTACCATGTGGAGAAATGTTGAAATGGATTTGTTATGCAACCAAACTAGAAGGTTTAGATGCTTAGATTATTACCTTTTCTATGAGAGTATATATAAAAATAATAAACAAATATATGGGTTATGTACTTATGAATAAACTCATGCACCAAGGACTACATTTATCAACATTTTGACGTTTCTCGTGCTACTTCTGACTCAGTTGGACGACAATAACCCAATTGGCACACCATGGAATGCTATTTGTTCCCATTGGCTACACTTTCGGAGCTGGTATGTTCAAGATGGATTCCATACAAGGAGGTTTACCTTATGGTGCTGGAGTTTACGCTGGTGATGGCACAAGAGAGCCAAGTGAAACAGAGCTGGTTCTTGCAGAGCATCAGGGGAAGTACATGGCTAGTGTAGTCAAGAGGCTGCTTTCTCAGGCATGACATATTCCTCATTTTTTCGCCTAGTTCAATCTGTTTTTTATTTATTGAATTGTGTTTGGTTTTGTGAATTGGTCTTGGCATTTGTAAATCCGTTACGAAAGATGTCACCAATTATTGCTATCCACTTTTACCTTTCATGTTTGCCAATTCCATTGGAGAAAATGTACATGGTTTAATATTCTTCGTCTTGTCTTGCCTTATCAAATAAGATGTTTATATGTGGGAATTGGGATTTTTGGTTTATATAATTTTCTCCATGTAATTCACTTAAAAGCTTGATTTAATAAAGAAAAAAGGGTTGCATTTTCTTTTTTATTGTCATACAAAATACTCTTCTTATCTCTGTTCGAATCAGCATTCGCTTTATGTATCAATAAGTAAAATATGCAGTATGAAACACCATCCCCAAGACAAAGATTAGCCAATTTTTGCTTTCCAGCTCTGCATTCTGATCTCGCAATCTTTGGCAATGTTTGCCATAGCATTATGCAAGGAGCCACCCTTGCTTAGAGCCCTTTACAGCGCATGATTTTAGCATTTTCATCCTGGCTCAGGTTGCTTCACTCTCTTTAACCACCAGTCTTTCTAATCATTGCCTCTATCTCACTTCTCCGAATCACACCCTGAGATGGTAACAACTTCGACCGGTTTACCGCCCCAATGTGCTCAGCCAGTACTGATGCATTCCTCTTTTCGGCATACAATGGCCACACGTGTATTGGAACCCAATTGATAATACTCAGACCTGAATTCCACTTGCAGTGAGACAAAATCCACCTATGGATGGGTGGCTCAAGATTTCAGCTTGAGGTGCCCACATCGGAATCGCCACCCCTTTTTGCTGGTCTAATTCAAGAACCCCTAAGGCAAGTTGTCTGGGAAGTCAGTAAAGCCGTTGTTTGTCTTAAAATCTGTCGTTGCTGAATCATTCTCTACCGGTGGACTAACCACCCAAATGAATCGTTGTTGGCTCTTCTCTAAACCCCATGCTAGCTTTATAGTTTGCTTGGCTGACAGGGTTCCACAACTACCAAAAGGCACGTATTTCACTGATTCTTTGGGTTGCATGCCTTGTCAAACCAAAACTTCACATCTCAATGTTATGTTAGGGGGCGAACTTCTAGAATTTTAAGAAGGGAAGGACTTATAAAATTGTAGGGGGGATAAAAACAGATTTTTAATGGAAAATACATAGAAAATGTCTAAAATAAATGATAATTTTAAATTTTTAGGGGCATCCGTATCAGTTCCCATGCTGAAATGCACCTAGTTTCATTGCAAAAACTGCTCAAAACAGTCAGCAAAGCAAATCGGATTGCACCATGGAATTAGAAGATGTCTTTGGATGTTGTTGTGATCATCCTGATCCACTTCCTTGTCAAGGTTTTGATGCATGGGCTGCAAGGGCAAGAAACCGTGCATTTGAAGTGACGAAATCATACTTCAGCATCATGAAGTCTTCAGCATAGCAAAAGCTTCGGTTGCAAACATCTCAACAACATGATCTCAACAACAAGCTTTATTGATCATCATGGCAAACTGTGTCAAGATTGAAGTGGGTTTATCAATCTGGCCCGAGATATCTACCAGTGGCAATAAGAAAATTCAAGGAGATCATGTGCAATTTCTGATACTTTCCAAAGTTGAGATTGAGAAAGGCATCTGCTGCATGGACAAAGATATTTACGTTGAAGCCATGATGAGAAAGAAACCAGATGTTTACCAAGCTAAAGGTACGGAATGAGATGTCCCATACCGGAACCGGCAAGAAGCTCTGCACGAGGCTTCCTGGTTTACATAATGGCTACAAAAATTTCAAGCCAAAATACCAGGTTAATAGATAGCTGAGCTTGGTTGGATATTTGTTATTCAAGTTTTCTACGATATTTTTCTTACACGTTTCAAGCCAAAATCTCAAGCACTCAATTTTCAGACGAATTTCAAAATACCAGGCTCGATACTTTTACATTTTCCATAATTCATTAACATGGTTTGAATAGTCATATGTAACAATAAGGATCATGTTTTCCTTAAAATCAGTTAAAATATAAAAGAAGTCTTGCCAACGAAAAGAGACCGCAAACAATTGATGGTGGGATGAGTGGAGCTTGAAAATTTAAACCCACCAATCATGTCAGGACTGCAAGGAATTCTTCTTATAGAAGAAATAAAGAGTGAATTGAAGATAAATAAAAGAATCCAGGCGAAAATAGGGTCTTGATTCTCTACTACTTGTAACAGGAGCCTTGAAGTGAATGGGCTACTCTTTACTCAATTTTACCTAAATTAAAACCAACATGAACTATAAGCAATCCGAACTAAAAATAACTCGAACCGAAACAATAAAAATCAAAAGTAACTCAAGTTTAATTTATCCAAATTTGACCCAAATCACACATCGTCATGATTTTAGTTTGATAATTGAGTTAAAGTGTACGAAGAATTTATTTTTTTATTATTTATTTATTAATAATGTGATTAAAAAAATGTACTATGTTTTATTCTCATTTTTTTATTATACTACTACTTTTGATAATAGTTTAATGATTCAATATTATATTCCTTCATTTAAAAACGAGATAAATAATTTATTTTTACAATATACAAATATTTAATTTTATTTATGATTTAAAATTAAAATATTATAAGAATTTAATATTATTTATAAAATCATTTAAATTTATTGTGCTGTTTTTAATTCAATAAAAATATTATAGTTAAACGTTAAACATCATGTTGGAAAGTTTAATTGAGAATAAAATTTATAATTAAAAATTTTATTTGTTCACTAAATAGGCTGCACCATAAAATTTTCAAGTCAAATCAATATGGAACTCAAGTCATAAACTTTAAAATATCATATAAGGTCGAGTTCGAATCAAATTATCTCTTTAAATGAAAGTTGAATTTGAAATATTAAACGATTAATAGATAAAATTGAGCCTGATTTTTTAAAAAAAAATTGAACCTAACTGATAAGATTCAGAAACAAAAAAAATTAATTAGAATATAATAATAATTATATATATACTCGATTATACTCCTTTTAACAAGATCCTCGGTGTTACCTGTAAAGAAAAAAAATACACGTCACATGATCCTCATAAAGGAATGAGTTTATTTTATTCATACTAAAGATGCTCTTTTTCATGTTTGAACCCCCAAAACTGAAGTAATTTTCAGATCCAATACATTTCACTCAGCTCTAGTATTTTTGACCCCATTCATATGAATGTCCAATAATTTACAAAAATAAAAACTTGGAAGGAATGTTAAGTAAATAGTGGCAGTTCCTCCCTTCCAAATCCCGAGTTTGTGTTTTCTACAAGGGATGGATGTTCCTGCAAACTAGACAATCTCTCTACATGCCAAAATAGAATCCTATCAACCATATTCATAAATTATAGATAATGCAAACACAAACACAGAAAGGCGAGCATTTTTTTAGATAAACCTCTAAATTTCTTTCTTCCATCCTGGATATAAGATTGAACTATCCACACTGACCTCCAAAATGGCCTCTAAGTTCTTAAATCTGTACAGATGGAAACACAGAGAGGCCACTGAACGATGATCTCTGAGCAATGCACAATTTATCGGAGCTTTATTTATACACAGGTCTTGCTAGTCCCAAGTGTAAGTTCAAGGTCATCTATGCCAATCTCATGTATTCTTTCACCTTCCCATGGCTTCACTCTACAATTCCCAAACTCAAATTCTGTGCATCTCCCCTTCTGTGCAACATTCCCCTGGAGTTGATCATGTTGAAATTGAACCACCCTTTTCACAAGGTTAAAAGTAGGTGGAGGAGGAGCCGCCGCCGCCGCCTGAAAATTCACCCAACGACCAGAGTCAACAGTTAAGGCATTGAACTCGACGCATTCAGGTATAGTGGCTGGTGTGCGGTGGTGCCGCCTTGTGGGGCTAGATGGGGCTGATGTAGCCAGAAGTGGGTGGCGAAATGAGTTTAGGGAGTCATTGCAAATGGATTCCCAGTCAGATTTGCGCTTAGATCCTCTAGTGGGTGAAGAAAGTGACGGGGTTACTGGAGCGCTGCTGGATATTATTCTAAGAGGAGTGATATTATTAGAGATGGCTGCAATGTTGCGGAGGAATGGAAGGAGGTGAGTCGAGGTGTTGAAACCGAAACGAGTCGGACTCGGGCATAAGGATGAGGAGGGACTGGCATGGTAGGAAGGTACGGAGCTTGGGAAAGATGAAGACTGTGGACTCGGTTGAATAGATGAACATGAACTGATGTTGCTCGAAGCCGTTTCAAGCTCCAATGGAGGTGGCTTGCATCCCTGCATCGAAAGATGAACGGAAACCCATTTTAGAATAAGCATAAAAAAGGTAAAATTCCAACATATAAAAAAAAAGAAAAAAAGATGTACAAGGGAAGGGAAAGGGAAACCTTGCGGTAAGTGGTGCCATCTTCTTCAACGATCCAACCAGCCTCGGCACAAAGAGCTTTCAAGGCCTCGTTGTTGTCGCAATGTTTAGGGAACTTATAGTTGCCTTGAGCTCGGAGGCCAGAGTATATGTTTGCAGCTATGGCTCTTCTTCTCCGTTCTCTCCTCTTGTTGTTCTCCCTTTCTTTCCATGTGGGTAATCTCCCTGTCATCTTCACTAACATCTAACTTTTCTTTTTCTCTCTTGTAAAGATGTTAGCTTTTCGTTTCAAGTTCCAACCTTGGAAGAGAAGAAAATGCAGAAATGTATGAAGTCTCAATTAATAGAGACACGCAGGAGACAGAGTCTCTGTTTGACGAGGATATTGCTTTGTTTTATAGTTGAAGTTGAAAAGTTGCACGCTTTTGCAGTGTTGGTTTCTTAGATTCTTCCTATGTTTCTCGGCCTCTCTCTCTTTTGATTTCACACTTTCTCGAATACAGTAATCTTAGCGTAGAAAGTAATATAAACCCAGAAAAACATGAAAGCGGCCTGTATTGGTTTTTGGTAAGGATTTTTGATGACATGTTTTCTGTTCTTAATTTTTGGTTTGTGAAAAATTGGAAATGTGTAGAGTTTGGTGAATCCTATGGCATCTTCTCTGCTTTAAAATCAGTCTTTTGCCAGTTATTCCTGGGAAAAAAAAAGTCCCAAAAGGACTGATTGTTGGGAAATTGTATTTTCGTACCCTGCTTGCTTGGTAAGAAAACTGGGCTACATTATTATGGAATTTTTGTAAAAGTAGAGGACGCTAGAGAAAACCTAAAGAATAGGATATTGTTTTTTTATATATAAAAGGTCCTTTTTATTTGCTTGAAAGGTCAATATCTACTTTTTTTTAATAATATAGAGTAATTTGTTCAGAATTTTTTAATTAATTTATAATATATATTTTATAAATATAGTTGTTCGAACTCAATTTTTTATAAAAATTTATTTTATTATTGAAACATGATGAATTCTTTAAAAAATTAATTTCAAAATGATATCAGCGGAGTTAATAAAATAAAAATGTAAATTAGTAGGAAGAAAAAAAGTAAAGAAGGGCGGTCAAAGGTTGGTTATCCAAAGGTTTTGCGCGAGTGAAATTGGTTGTAATGAGCGCACACATTCAATTTGTGCTACGCCGTGCGCATAGAAATAGAAATGGTTAGGCCTCCATTATTGACACGACAAGGACTATAACTGCTTTGCAATTTACCCCTTACCACTTTTTGCTTAATTTTTCTCTACTGCACTTGATTATTTATTTTCTTACAAAATTAATGTTTGCTCACAGCCTTAAAGTTCCTTTTTCAGGGGGGGGGTAATTAATCAGTTTTGTATGCATACATATTTTTATGCTTTATTTATTTATTTTCTAAAATTTTAATTAAATATAAAAAATAAATTATATATTTAAGAATATTTAATTTTATATTCTTACAATAATAAAAATAACTGAATTAACATTAAATTAATTTTAAAATTTTAATTTTAAAAAAAATTCAATATAAGTTAGATAAAAAATAATATCTTGTTATTACATGTCTCAGTGTTAGTTTTCTAAGAGTCCTAGATCTAAACAATTACATCTATAAGATATATGTATTGTCAATGATTAATTTTTTTAATAGATAACATAAATTCATATATATTTTAATTAGATGGTAGTTATTCATGGCGATTCGACTAAACTGACAACTTTTAGCCGAAATTTTCTCTTTCTAACACCCTTTGACCAATATTTCTCGAAGTAGCACCCTTTCGGCCGAGGTGGCACAAAGGTGCATCCCCGTGGATGCGCTTTACCTGGTTTTTGCTGACTGGGATGCCACACGTGTAAGGCGCATCCCCGGGGATGCGCTTTATATGAGATCTGCTGAGTCGGATGCTACGTGGGTAAGGTGCATCCCTGGGGACGCGCTTTCACAACTATGCCTCAGAAATAATAGGTACTGACATGAATAGTTCTCCGAGGGACATGAGTGACATAATAGGGCAATGATAACATATTCTCTGACAAAATAATGGAAAGTACGCCCCTGGGAACACGCTTTCACCACTTTGGGTACTGATATGAATAGTGCCCCCGATGGACATGAGTAACATAATATTGTAATGATAACATAGCCCCCGAGGGACATGAGTGACATAATAGGGCAATGATAACATATTCTCTGACAAAATAATGGAAGGCGCGCCCTCGGGAACGCGCTTTCACCACTTTGGGTATTGACATGAATAGTGCCCCCGAGGGACATGAGTGACATAATAGGGTAATGATAACATAACCCCCGAGGGACATGAGTGACATAATAGGGCAATGATAACATATTCTCTGACAAAATAATGAAAGGCGCGCCCCTGAGAACGCGCCTTTACATGAATAGTACCCCGGTTATAGATACTATTAAATGCAATGTATTATGGACTTTCAAAACAAACTTCAGTTCACAAGCTTTCAAATTCTCAAACTCTAAATTTCTCAAAAAATCTCAATCCTCTATTCTCTGAAAATGAGTCATCTTTCTACTGTTGTTTTGTATGATGGAGAAATTAAGGAAGCTGAAGAGAGGGTTATTTTTGAGTCAAATCATTATATCCCCTTAACCTTGAAGAGAAACATCACTCTTGAGGAGTTAATCATAAAAATTTCGTTAAAGATTCGCGTAGTTGGCCGGAGAAGACTATCTTCACTTCAGTATAGATTTCTTACTGAACTTTTTCCACTCACGTATACATCATTTCAGCTTTCCAACGATGATGATGTTTCTATGATAGTTGATGCTCATATGGGGAGTTCACAATCTCTTATTTGAAATGTATGCCACTTTTATTGAGGTTCGTGCTTCTCGTGGTCTCTCATATTACTCTCACTTTCGCATTGCATATTAAGCTGATCAAGTTTATAGCCCAACGCAACTGATATTTAATGATTTCACATCATTAATGGCGGATCCAACACCAGATGTTATACCATCAAGTTCAATAGGAATACATTCATCATCAACTGCTTATAATCTCAACCCACGTGGCTTCACCAATAATCCATATGGTAATATCTCTTCTACTTCAAGGGGCAGATATTCATCTGCTAATGTTTTCAACTTACATATAGAAATGCCATCAAGACGGCAGTCTATTCACATCCCACATGATACAATGGCCTCAAGTTCAAGGGGAGGACACGTAAGCAGGAACTTATTTGACCTTAACATTGGATTATCGGATGAACCCTCATCTCCACCAGAAGAACCTCTTAGGGAGCCAGGTACAGATGGTGCTGAAACAGGATTATTCGTTGAACCTGACTCATAACAGTTTAATGTACATTCTGATGATGATGAGGATGACGTTCTGATAAATACAACACCAGCCGAACTTCCTGCACATATGTATGGTGCTGATTATGATGTAATGTACGAGCCTGAATTTCCAGATCTTCCTGATGTTAGCAACTATGGACTTCAATCATCAGTCAACGACGATGATTTACATATTGGAATGAAGTTTGCATCGAAGGAGGAAGTAATAATAGCAATAAAGAGTTACAATATTCGTAACTCAGTTCACTCCCGAGTTGATCGATCTACCACGAAGAAATATGTCTGCTACTGCGTCCAACGTGACACCGGATGTCAATGGATAACCCGTGTATCAAAGAGGAAGAGGAAGAACAACTTATGGGAACTAACCAGATACAACGATCCTCATACGTGTTGTGCAAGAGGTATAAACTAGGATCATCCCAACTTGGACTCCAACATTATTTGCCAAGCACTCATGCCCATTGTGAAACAAAGCTCTCATATAGATGTTGCAATGTTGATTTCTGCTATACAGTCACAATATGGGTACACCGTCTCTTATAAAAAAGCTTGGTTGGCAAAACAGAATGCCATTTGCAAACTCCATGGTGAATGGGATTCTTCTTATAACGAGCTGCCTAGTTAGTTTCATGTTGCGCAAAGACTCAATCCCGGGACAATTGTTGAGTTCGAAACTCAACATCATTACGTGAATGATCGAATGGTTCGCGATCGCTGCCAATTCTACTGTGTCTTTTGGACTTACCCTCAGTGTATTAATGTAGTCAAGTACTGTAAACCTGTTGTCCAAATTGATGATACTTTATTTTATGGGAAATACAAGCAAGTTTTATTATTGGTTGTGGTCCAAGATGGAAACCGCAATATTCTTCCTGTTGCGTTTACCCTCGTTCAAGGAGAAGACACCAAGTCCTGGGCTTTTTCCCTTAAAAATTTACGTTTACATGTTGTCACCAGGGAACGAGTATGCATTATTTCAGACCGAGGAGCCGGGATAAAAGCAACAATGGAGTCTTTGGGTACAATGTATAGACCTCTACATGTTCAACATCGTTATTGTGTCCGTCATATTACTGCAAACTATTACAGAAAATACAAGAAGAACGATGAACGCTAGTTAGTCGTGCGGATGAGTATGTTACTTTTTCCCAATTTTTCTAACATTTTCGTATTACTTATTTATACTTCATATTAACTATTACATATTCCTAATGGCTTAGGTTACGAACTCTTACCTCAAAGGTTTGAGTCTATGTTATAAGAGCTGTTTGGCAAAAATAAGAAGGGGTGCGGGTACATTATGGACATCAGCAAAGAAATGTGGACAAATACGTATGACGGGGGGTATCGTTATGGTCATATGACAACCAACTTGGCTGAAGCAATAAATTCAACCTTAAAGGGGGCGCGCCATTTACCAGTCACGGCGTTGGTTAAAACGACTTATTTTCGTTTGGGTTAACTCTTTAGAAAGCTCGGTGGACAAGCTCTTACTTGGTTGCAAAACGACCATATTTACCACCCGAGACTAGTAGCTAATTTACAGAAAAAAGTTGCTGCATCAAATGGGATGTTGGTTACAAATTTTTCTCACACTCGTGAATTGTTTCGTGTTACCGAAATGCCACGTCCGCTGAAAGGGATTGAAGCTAACTCTTTCAGAGTTAATATGCAAGAGAGGTGGTGCGATTATGGTTTCTTTCAAGCACTCAAATATCCATGCTCTCATGTCATTGCAGTTTGCTCACATTCGCATTTAGACTACAAAAATTATGTTGATCTCGTATACCAACTTTCATAAGTATTCAAGGTATATGAATTTGAGTTTCCGCCCATAGGAAACGAAAGAGACCCAGATGAGATTCAAACTTGGCCTACAATTGTACCAGATCCATTGTTATTGAGGGACTCAAGTCGTCCAAAATCTACTAGAATACATTGTGATATGGATATTC